AACAGGAGGGTTAAACCATTATATCTTTCATTCAAAACTGATTATGTGTTGCTGTGTTTATTTTCTTTTTTTAAATCACAATACAGTTTTATGTCACCGCTCTGGCTGCTAAATGTTTCCCAGGGAGAAAGTGACTACAATTTATGTGGTTTGTTAAGTTTCTCCTATTAGAACTGCTTTTCATCAGCAGCTCTTTAAAACTGAGCTAACTGGCCTGAAGTGTCAGAAAACACAGCCTTCACATAAAAAAAGGGAAATGGGTTTGAAATGTTGAGTTTTGTTTTATATTCARTCACTAAACTGTGGTGAACAGCTCAGTTTTATTAAATGCAACAGAAGAARAATGAAGAGACCTTTTATTGTCATTGTACAGAGCACAATGAAATTRCAGTTCAGAACACCCRTTCACAAGAAGAAGCAACATTTATGTTTAATTTCTATGATTAGCTGCTTTTTTGTAAAACTGAGTGAATCTCTGATGTTTCTGCTGAATGAAACTGTGCAACATTTTTCAGATAACTAGTGGTTATTTCACCTGGACAGACGGACCGCCGACACTTTCTGATGTGGACATTAAGATTCCCTTTGGTGAGCACCTCCCCCTCTCTGTTTGCTTCCTCGTCCAATTAAACGTTTTTATTTTAAACTGATATTGTTTTTGTCTCATTAAACGTCTCAGGAAAGCTGACGATGATTGTGGGTCAGGTGGGCTGTGGGAAGTCGTCTCTGCTGCTGGCAGCTCTGGGAGAGATGCAGAGAGTGTCGGGAACAGTCATCTGGAACAGGTTAGTTTCATTTTTAGTGATTATTTTCTCGAGGATTGACATTTTAGAAGTCAGGTTTTTAATCTGCTGGGTTAAATTTGAATGTGGTGTTCCCGAATTCCCTGTTTTCTGCAGCAGCTAATTTAAAATCTCTAATAAAAGTTATTTAGAACTCAACCAGCCTTACAGGAACCCAGCTGCCGTGACGCAGCAGTATAAAGAAATGGATTTGTAGGGWACTGGAACAGAGCTGATCCTGCAGCGCTCATGTTTTAGTTGGGGGATACGAGGAAAAGCAACATGGGGATCTTTTTATGCACTGCTAACCTATATTCAGTCAGCTGCCTCAAGGAAACAAACAAAAAACCTCCCAGATATTTAATTCTGCTGCAGTTCTGCAAATCTTTCTCCTGTTTCTAAGCTGAAAGAAGTGGTTGTCCTATACATCGTATTGTTTTGATGTGAGCYCTGTCTGTGTATGAATGTGATCTAAAGCACTGATTAAACTCTACAGACTGATTTATTCAGATTAATATTGTTGAGATGTAGCAGGTGCTGTGTAGAGGTGTGTGGGTAAATGAGGGCACAGATCGTCTACTAAAGCGTTTTGAATACGGCTAAAAATATGCTATATAACTGCATTCCATTTATCATTTATTTAGTTTTAATTTCCTAATATTCTTTAAATTTAATCATCAACTCACAACGGTTTGAACAGTATTTATGAATAAAAAAAACACTTAATCATCCTGTATGTCATTTACAAATTAAATTCAGAAGATGCCCTAACCCTGCTGTAAGGTTAGATAATAAACTTCTGTTTGTAATAATTCTGAGGCAAAAAAGCAACTCATCCTCTTCTAAATGTTTATTGACATATTTTGTCATGTTATGTGTGACAAATCCTCAGAGGCAGTTTCTAAATGAGAAATTAGCTTCCAAACCTTCCTTACAGCCCGGTCACTGCTGCAGAAACTGTTGCTGCTTTGGAGTGAAACAATATTTTGAAAATTGAGGAGTTTTTGTTGCAGAATCTGAGATTTCTTTCTGTAAATGATTTGCTTTACCTCGAGGTGAAGGCAGCAGTCAGAGCTGTGAGAAAAGTTGTCCACTGAGCTGACAGGTGAAGGCAAGTCACACGTCGCTGAAACATATTAGATTGTCACAATAGAGATGTTTTTTTTAAAATAAGGCATGCACCTACTGCCGGGTGCAGAGAGCACCTGTCACTGAGGAGCTCGTGTTGTCTAGTTGTGTTTTCTTTAGTCTGTATGAACAGAGATTTTCTTTTTTGTCAAATAAAGCTTAAAAATCGAAAATCTAAACTTAGATTTTTACTGCCTTTTTCGTTCCTCTGCAGGATTTCTGGTAAAATCATAATCTTTGCTAAAAACATTAGCTACGTTTACATGGACATACGTAATCGGATTAAACGGCCATTCGGAATAAAAATGCGTCATGTAAACAGCCTGTTTGGATTATTCTGATCCAAATGAGCTCGATCCGAATGAATTTTTAATCCGAATGAGAGGGGTGGTTTATGCCGATTGATAATCGGAATGACGTGCATGTAAACACTTAATCGGATCATCTTATTCTGATTGTAGAAAACTGACCTGAGTGCGCATGTCTGCTGACTTTCATTCACCCGGTTCTGCTCTTTAGAGCAGGTGAGACAGCAGCGCTCCAGCTGCGCTGCACACCGCACAAAACTTTTCCTCCTCGCTCTCTTCACAGATGAAAGAGGAGACAAACAGCAGACGTTGCTTCACAAAAAAAAAAAAAAAGGTAAATGAAAAGCACGTATTGCTTCATCTGCAGCTCAACCAAGGAGAAATGACGTCTCTACTGTTATTAAAAGCTGACATGGGTCCGTTCTGAGCGCACAGAAGAGATTTGTTTACATTTATAACACGGAAGCAGAGCTGAAAGTTTACAACACTGCGCATGTCCGGACTTTTATTTTGAATAAAACTCCGGTGCATGTAAACACTTTTCATGATCGGATTGTGTCCATGTAAARCAGTACATTCAGATTATTTAATCTGAATACATTTCAATCCAATCAAAATATTTTGTGCATGTAAACGTAGCTRCTGATGCTTCCTCTATGTTTGACAAAAACTGGCCTCAGTGTACACAAGCAGAGTAGTTTTCTACAGTAGCCCACCCAGATACACCCCGAGAACATCCGGTGACTCATTCCCACATTTAAATGTTTGGTCAGCCTCCCAGGATAGAGCTGCCATGGGTCTACATGGCTCTGTCGGCTGATCCTAACTGTTTTTGGCTTCAGAGACACACTGACACCCCCTCTGAGTTTGGGTTGGATTAAATACCCCGAGTGGGGGTGTGTGTGTGTGTGTGGGGGTGTGTGTGTGTGTGTGTGTGTGTTATGTCGACT